GCATTTGGACGACCAAAGTAACCGAGGATGGCCCACCAATGTGAACAGATTTTCAAAGTGACGATGGGTTGAAGTGATGTTAGGTCAGGAGGCATTTCTGTAGCCAGGCTAAGAGCCTCTAGGATAATACTAAGGAGAAGCAGATGTTCAAAAGTAAGCTATTGCTAAATTTGCAGCTAGGACCTTGATTTGGTTCACTTTGGTGGTGCTGTGACCTGCAAACTATAGTCTACAAATTTGATAAACACTATACTTATAGCCTGTTAATTAGAATTGAGGGCATACTCTTTTGTAAGGCACATTAGCAAAGTTTCCCAAGGATAACGTCAAGTTAAGTCTTTTGGCACTCTTAAGTAGGAGCTCAACTTTACCCCAAATCTAAGTGCTCATGAAGACAAAGGTACATTTTTAAGTAGGCAAACTCTTAATCTTAAAGCTGTGGAATAAAGTCATAAACCATAAAATCTTGAAAGGGAAAAGACGCTCGCAAATGTAACTTATTAGTAATGCGCTGGAAATAGCAAAAAAAATTATATATATTTTTTTCATTAACATTAACTTTAGGGCATAGTTTATTTAGTAAATCCGGAAGGCCATGAAAGCACTCGAGTCTGGGATAAGCTTCAGCGCAGCCATAATTAGTAGTCTCATAAGCATATAAATCAAGTGTGGAACAAGCCTTGGGACAAGGATTAGCCCAGTATTACGCAGTCACTATTAAACCAAAACCAAAACAGAACCGTACCGAATCGAACCTCATGTAGAACCCACTGCACAGACAAACCAACATTAAATGGTGATCCTTCTAAAGGCCTGTGGTTCCACATTTCAGTGATTGTGTTGCAAACACCTGGAGAGAATTACATGAAAAGACATATAAGAGTAGTTACACAATAATTACATATTATGGACAATTTTAATTAATTACCTTATCTATGATAAAACTAATTGATTATATAGAAGAAAACAATAATTTTAGAGTACACATTAATTACTTTATTACCATTATGTATTATGATTATCAATTACCAAGCTAATTTGCTATAAATCAATTAGTAGTTTTTCAGGTCTTACGTACATACAAACCTCTAAATATAAAATATTTTTAAAGTTGCATCATCTAGTACATACGCTTAGGAACTTGTTGAATGTTATCTGATAATGGTTACTACATGAATGGAAATGTTATACGTGGCAAAGAGCAATATTTTTTTAATAAAGCATCCCCATAAGAACAAATTGATTGTTTTTAATTGTTAAATGAATCAACGAATGGTTGAGACATACATATCTCCTGGCAGCTAAAACTTTCTCTCTGGGAAAATAAACTGGCATCTATTCTTTTCTTGCTGACTTTAGTTACATTGCTTTAAGGGCTTATATACAGTAAGAATTCAAATAAAATATTTTTTTTATTGTTTTATTTTACATATAACTAACAATATACACTGAAAATGAATATTTTTGAAGTTACACCCAAATTTTAAAAAGCGTTTCAGAGTGTTTGCAAGTACGAGTATTGTAAGATTATAAGAAGCAATTATAAATTATTTATTTATAGCATATTATTAAGCGGACTCGGAGCCATCCTTTCTGCACAGAACCCTGTGACAGGATAATTGAACCTGCACAGATGAATAAGCTCTTTACCCGATGTCTATTTAGGGAATACTTCTCGATCCTAAACAATCAGTTATAGACTGTGATGGAATCGTCAATATTTGTTTTCATGGCTGCCAAAAATTATACTTCAAAACAATTTTCAAAACAAAATATTTCGTTTGTTTATATGGTCTAAATTCGAGATGAAAAAACTTCGATTAGACTATCGATACGACAATCAATGTTTTTCATTTTATACACTCGTCACACCGGCGTTGAAAGTTGCGAAAACAGCTCATTACTATTACACAATTTGGTAAAATCAAATATATTAAAAAGAACAAAAATTAAAAATTATTAAAAACAGGCAAGTTGTTGCATTTAGGGACGATTTATAATGTTAAATATCACCTTGTAATACAACATTGATTAAGTTAAAGTGCAAAAGGAAATATGCGATAAAATCCATGAACACAACAAATTTCATTATCAAACTTATTTTAGATATTTGAACCAAAAATATTTATATAAATCTTTATTATAATATTATATTATTATAATATTTTACATAAATAGATTTGTTTTAATATTTTGATAATATTTAATAATGTCATATTTTTCAATGGTGGGAACACTTTATTTTTTGTTATATTTCATATTAGATATCTGGTATTTTGCAGAGGCGAACGCACGGTCACACTGCCAAGTATGCTTCTTCAAATTGTAGCGGCATTTTCACAAAAGCAACGCAGAAAATTCGCGTCACCCATCTGAACATCGTAATAGTTTTAGTTGTTTTCCCATTTAAACCCAGTATTCCAAGTGAAAACTGTGCAACTGGCCGATTTGAGAGCGCTGCTAACTTGTATATATGCCATGGAATTCGATGGGGCAGACAATGGCTTGGGAATGGGAATCGGCGGACGCGGAGTTTTGCGCGAGATCAACAAAAACGATGGCGGCGTTAAGGTAAGCGTAATAACTCAACTTTGGGGCGTGCCCCGTCCCACCGACCATGTGCGATTATGCCAAAACATTCACTTTCTAGCATGTGTACAAGTTGTGCCCCCCCCGCACCCCCCTCTGGAATATAATATATGGGGTAATGGCTCGATCGCAGGCTGTTTCTGTTATTTTCCTTTCCTCGCACATGTACATTGTGTATATTATTTGCTTGCGTGATTTTTATTAACTCCATGGCAGCTGTCGTCGTCAAGAGTACCCCAGTCGTTCAGTGGCCGCCGGACATTGTCCATCCCAAGCTTCCCGATTTCCAGACCAGCCGTAGCTCCACCCCGAAAATGGGCAATAAGCCGGGCAAGACAAAGAGATCGAGGGCCCTGGCCGGAAAATTAACAACAAAGTCAACGGACAACGGGCCAGGGAATCTGGTATGCCAAGAGAAAATCCCATTAAATGCATTATCTGAGGTTGCCGGCCACCTCTTGACATCTTCCGTTCACCAGATGTTGGCCAAACATTATCATAGCAAGTCAAAATAAAATCTGCTAATGAAAATCGCTATTTAGTGCTTATGGTAGCATTTCTCTCTAAACTTACCTACTAATGTGGATCTACTCTTTGCCTATTTTGTTAAATCCATTTTAAAATAGAGCTTCAGTTGAACCAAAAGTCATTAAACTCCATTTCCCCTTTTGCCACCAACGTTGCTCGTTATGGAGGATCTACAGACGCACCCTTGTTGTCTAGATATCTTTTTCGCCTATTTATAGTTTAGTTGCCTTTTCCCCAATATTTGTTTGCTTTATTTCCCCTCATGTGTTGTTGCATAGGATATTCGAATCTCAAACAAAGTTTCCCATTCAATTTTTATAACCCGAGCCACCAGATGCCACGTATAATATTCACGTCTCCGATATACATAAACAAAAATTACGTGTTCGTATAATTTTTGTAAATTGTACATCGGACTAACTAATCATCCAAATATGTTATATGCCTTAGCATATATATATATAAATATTGTAATCTTTCTGTTACTGGTTGGGTTTTTGTTAATCAGTAATGTTTTTAAAAACTAATTTTAATAAACTGTAATGCTTTGTTTTGGGTTCCATTCGAGCTTGATATAATTTGATACCCTCCTTCATTGTATTCGAATTCCCATTGGGTCGCGGATATCTTGTCACCTGTCGCGTATTGCTTGGTTAACGCCAAAGCCAACATCTAACATTTGCCACCTCGTCATGGCCCATCGTGTGGGATTCCGTTTCACTGTCTAGATTTTCTCGCCAAATATGCAAAGTCAGCCGTTGGGCAATGTGGAGCACTTCCTCAATTCGATTCGACTCGACTTGCAGATAGTGCGCCGTGATGCGCAACAATGGCAGTGGGATTGCATGTCACTTGGCATCCACAAGGGTTACACCGTAAAAATATGATAAGCGAAATGCATATCATACTGTTATTTAGAACGATTACAAACCTCCTTAATAAACCAAATACATCAGTATTACCAATATTCCAAACATATTGCAAATATGAATTTTATTTTAAGTAAGATATGTGTTGGGTTCTTTCTTGTTTTTAAATCACAATGTATACAAATTATTGCAAGTGTGGCAGGCTCCTTCAGCTGTTTGGCGAAGACTTTCATTCATTAGCAGTCGACGGTCGCCCTATTTTCGTATTCCCCCGTTTTCTATTCCCCCCTTTGAGTGTTTCGGCTTATTTGCGGTGTCTTGCATTTTTCACTACTGCTTTTGAGTCTGAAGTGAGTCTAAGGCCTGTCTAGTTTTTCAGTTTTCCACTGCAGTTCAGACAAGAAGGTTGTCATCTGGCGCCTGCACTATTGGCATTGCAGTAATTACGTTTCAATTCAGCGGATTATATAAATTAAATTGCATTTGTACGCCCACGCGCACCTAAACGATCGGCGATCAAGCCAATTAGTGTTCTGAGCCCAGTGGAATCTGTTGTCATTTCAAAACTTGACATTAAAAATTTTGAAAAAGTTTTTTTATCGCTAAGTTTGGCTACATATTCGAAAATGTTTTGAAAGTTTAGCTATGCTTCAAAACAATTAGATTCGTGCGAAAGAACTAACTTTATCCATTTTTTTTTGTTCTAATATTGTAATTGCCGACTAACTTAAGTACTGGGAAGAGTCAGCTTTATAAAGAAATGGGGGGTGTGTGTGCTGACAAAGGAAGAACCGCTAGAAACGATCCAAAACCATAGTCATACAAAAACATCCGGATCATTATGTGGATGGCATTCAAACTTTTCGCTCACTCTCTTTCTCTCTCTCTCTCTGTGGCGGTTTCCCACACTCTCTCGCCTTAACCAAAATCATTTGTGCATGTGTGACGCTGAGCGGAGCAAAAAGGCAAATTGAAAACGAAAATATTTTTAAATTGATTTCAAAGACAGACAAGATCGGGAGCCAGCGAGAAGTGTACGCGGCGACGGGTCGCGAGAATCTCGGCAATATTTCCCAATATAATGAAAGAGCGGAAGGCGGAAAATCACAGTAGAGATTTTTCCGAGTAGGCGAGACGGAATCTGTGTCACAACGGAAAACCCGAAAAAAAGTAAAATACACTAAAGGCCAACCAACAAATTCGATCGATCCATCGGTTTATGGAATCAAGTGAACCGTGAACCGTAAATCGTCTTGAAAGTAAATCGTGCGTAGAACATCATGGACTTCATCGCGAACATCATGAAAAGGCCCAAGAGTATCGCCACCACTGGCATTACGACCACTCAGCCAGCGGGCAAGGAAGCCACAGAGGTTGCCAGTCCCGTGGATGATCATCCTTCTCCAAGAGATTGTGATGGAGCTTCACTGATATCCACACACTTGGGCACGCTACTGGAGTCTGCTTCGGAGGATCTGCTGCGATTAGAGGAGCAGCACTGCAGCCTGCTCATGGATCCCAACTCAAATACACCTTCGACCCCCGCAATTAGCAGTGGTAGTAGGGAAACCATCCAGCAACTCTTGAGCGAGATAAACGTCAATTTAAACCAAGTCAGTGCTAACGAAATGGAGCACCTGCAGGCTATGAGTGGCGAGGTATGTCCCCGAAAATACACCTAAGTGTGTGAGTTTGCCCTTATCTCATTTGCCTATTCATACAACACTTCTCAGTCCTTGCAGGGGGTATTTTTATTTTAGACAGATGCTTGTTAAGCAGTAACAAAGATAACTTAGACCATTTTAGGACTGTATACATAAATAGGTATATTTTCGAACAAAATCGTTACGATGTGGGATTATTTGTTTTATAAGTAGGTAAATAATGTTTCCTAATCGTTGAGATAAAACAACTATAACTTTTAGCCAGTATCTGAAGTATCCTACCAAATTTGCAAAACCTCTTTGTTCTTAAATGGTAACTACAAATTGTTTAATTTGTTCATAATTAAATTAATTATCATAATACATAGCTTATGATATTTTTTAAGATTTAGTAAAACTATTTCATAAGTCACCGATAGAATTGAACTTGTCGAATTAATTTATTTCTTAATAATATTCTTTTTCTTAGAAGGTTGTTTAAAAGTTGTAGTTGTTTCTAATTTTTGATTAGTCTCTCACATATGTTTAAATCTGACAAATTCCGATTTTTTTTCTTTGCTGATCATTGTTTTGTCAAGATATTGCGCTTCAAAAATTATAATTTAAAATTGCGTTGCAATTTATTAAATCTCTTGGCTAAAATTTGTGCAATCTAGAGACATGTGAACTGTTGTGACAGCCAACTTAAATCAGTTTGTTAAAATTTTGGACATACAGAATAGGATGGTATAATATTCCAAAACAAATTTGTTTTAAAAGAGTCACTTTATTACTTTGATTTGTAAAAAGAAATAATGTTTTAAGATGCTATGTTTTTCGTAAAACAATCTTAGCCTACGATTAACGATTTAATATAAAAATTGGGTTTGGTCTGAGTTTGGATCTAATTTTCATTTCGTTTCTTATGTAAGTTTCTCTGGCTAATTTGCCTTCACCCCAATCCATTTTTTTTATGGGGACGCGCCCATTTTCACGTCTACGCTGACTTTAACCTTGCCGCAATAATCGTACTATAATGCGCCCTAATTAAATTCCGTGTGTAGAACATTGCACCCAAACCCTGAATAGTCGGAAAACTGGCCGGACCCGGGCCGGCCGCATTGAATCCGCCGCATATTCAGATGTTTATTTCGCACTGCACAAAAGCTGACGCCGACCCAGATCCACCTTCATCTCCCCACCATATGCCGCACAATTCCGTTTGCCCGCCTTCTTTCCATATCCCCGGTTTCCCATGTCTTGGCTTGCTTTTAAATTAATGACATTTGATTTGCTTGGCGAATGACCGACTGCGACGAACATTTCGAAGGTGTGCTCTTACTTGGCGTGGCGTTATTTGTTCTATTCAAACATATATTTTTTATATATTTCTCCCAGAAGAAAGCAAAAAATGAACTAACTTATATTTCCCAAACAAAAACTACTTACTAACAATATTGATATTACATTTTCGGGATCCCTTCAGATGCCAAGTTGTTTGTAATTTCTTTCATATCGATGATTGGGTGGACGCGCAAAAGTTTTACCTGATCTAACATTAGCCCATTTGTACAAAAACTAGGTAAAGGGCATTTTGTGTCTAGAGCAGTCCGCCGTAAATACAGATGGGACCAATTTCTTTCACCAGCCGAGTCCCTCACTCAAACAACGTGTCAACAATTCTTAATTAAATGCCCAAACAGCTGTTGTCTGTGTTCATCTTCATTATCCCATCCTCATCATTGCTTGTTTACGTTTTTCGACTGCCAAATTTGGATTATGCTTATTTTACTCTACAGAGTCCGTGTTATTAATTTTCATAACTTTTCTTTCAAATCATGTCTCACGCGATGCACAATTTGCAATTAATTTTTATGCATTTTCTGTCTTTTTCATTTGGCAGCTGAATCCGCTGGCGGTGAAGCCCAGTCCCAAACCATCAAGCATGGAGCAGCAGAAGGCTCTAGCCGCTGCTCTGGGCCATCAGACGGCGGCAACAGGTTGCCCCAAGCTGGATGCGGATGCGGTTCCTAAGTTTGGAGGTCTTCCCGAGTTCGACGAGTCGCAAATCCCGGATCTGGCTTCATTAAACACCCAAATGGAGGGTGAGTAAGCCCATGAACAGTTAATGCATCCCATTTAAGCTTAACACTTTTTTATTTTTTAATTTGAAATAATTAATAACATTTTACTTTACATAAAGAAACGCCACTAGGGATTTGTTTTCAATGTTTATACCCTTGCAGAAAGTGTTATAACTTCAGACAGTAATAAAAACATTCCAGGCTCTTTTAGTTTATATATTCTTGCATCACTAGGGGAGTCAATCTGGCCAATCTAGTCTCTCAGTTTTATAGCCATGCGGATGAAAATTTCCAATAACTAGGAACAATCAGAAAAATAATTAAAAAACAAATATAACTTCTTTAATTTACACTTCAGGATACAGAAGTGGTTTACTATTTAAGAATTACGGTTTTAAATTTTATTTAACCGATCGAAAGAAATCAACAGAAGATCTACATAGATTTATCGCTTCTTACATATATATATATATAAATTTTGTAGTGTAGTCGTTTTATTGAATATTTTACTTTTGTAATAGCTGCAAAGGTATAAAAACTTTTGCTTGCCAAAGCTTAATGTTCTTGTTATTGGCTTCCTTAATGTTGTTAGGTCTTAATTAATTAATTAATTAATTAATTAAGTCTGATACAAATATCGTTTTTAATGTAAAGTAAAAGTATTTTATTTCTTCATGTTGTGTCATGTAATTCAATATAAATTATAATCCACATATTCATTAGAATAAACAATTAAAATTAACCTTTTTTTTTTCTTTTACAGCCCATTTAAAATCGAATCTTACGGATTCTGATTGTTTTGTGGAGTGTTTATCGCTTCATAGCGAGCGGTATACTGGAGATCGCTCCGAGTTGGAGGGCTATTCGAGTGCCCTCAACGATGTGTTGGAGCAGCAGTTGTCTATGACCTCGACTGGCACACTTGAGAACGAATTTCAAGATCCTTTGGCGGTTAGCCAGCACAACAACGTCAGCTATGAAGCCATGGATGTGGATGATATCAATGAAACCATGGAAATGTTAAAGGATGTCCTGGGACCCGAAGATCATCAACTATTGCAAGAGCAGTTGCTAACCGAATCTCAGCGAGTTTCAGAGAAGGTTCCAGTGCAGTTTCATGAAAATCTGGAGCTGGAGAAGATAGGTGAGATCTCGATTCTGCAAGGCGATTTGGATACACAAAAGGAACTCAAGAGTCAATTGGAAAAATCGCCTTTAAAAGAACAAGGACAGCCGGAAGATACTAGCGTACCAGCCCCGTGCGAGACAGAGGAAGAACATTTTAAAAGGAAGGAAGGGAAGCTGGAGAATTTAGACAAGGAAACAGAGCGGCTAAATCAGGAACAGGAAAAACAGGAGTTTCATAAAGAGCCACAAGCGATGATGGAGGCAAAACAACCTCAGGAAGATAAGCAGTCTGAAATTCCTCAGAGTCTTCAAGAATTAAGAGAAATTGAAGAGGATCCCCTAGTACATCCTAATCAGGAGCAGGCAACTCCGGTGCCAGTAGAAACAATAAAGAGGAATGAGTTGGAACTAACTAACCTGGAGCAAAATGCATCACCAGCTTTTGAAGCCACCGAGGATAGAATTGCTGGTGAGGAGTTTGAGCCCATGGAAGTGGATGTCTCTATGCAAGTGGAGGAGGCCACGGTGATAAGGTCACCTCAGCAGCAGCAATTGGAATCCCAGGCACCTATTTCACCTTCCCCCCACTTAGAGGTTAAGGAAACGGCTCCATTACCTCAACCTGCCCACGAACATCGAACTGAGCAGAAAACTGTAGTGACAGAAGAACCATTAAAAAGGATTCAAATGGAGCCGTCAGAAGCAACGCTCCCAGCAGCACCTCGATCACCCACACTTCAAGCGAAATTTGAAGATCTGCCCCTTTCTCCACCCATACCCACGCATCGGCCAAAGACAGCAGAGGAACTAGAGTTCCTAGCTCTGAAGGAGCTGCCATTGCCCGATGATGTATCTGAAGACAACTTGAATGTACCGATGCAGGAGGTGGAGAGGGTTGTTGAAAAGGTGCTAGAGAAGGAGCCACCACATCACCGACCGCCAGTGGTGGCAGTCACGCCGACTAAGATGCGATCTATTTCGCCCCTGTCTTTGGATATGGGTGGTAATAACATGGCAAACAACTCGGCACCCACCTCACCTAGTTTCCCCATCAGAGGACCAGCGGAGAAACCCCACCATTTCCCACGCTCTCCAAAAGCTCCTCCAGAACAGGAGGATATGCCTTACTTGGAAGAGGCTGTGGTAGAACCATCCTTGGATCGAAAGCAAAGCATATTTGATGCTGGAGTCATCGCTAAGGCACCAGTGGTCATCGAGGTAACGCAACCAAGTCCAGAGAAGCAGGCACACCTTAACGAAACCTTGCCCATGAGCGATCTTTCGCCAACACCCTCGAATGGAACTTTCGACAGCGGGATGACAATGCAGGACAAACCAGTGTCGGACACGGAAGATAACGAGAATTCTCTTGGATCTGCCGATAATAATCAGCGGCTAACTTTTTCTGTGATTCAGTCAACGGCGGAAAACGAGGAGGTCAAGTCTCGTAGGACTTTCTGTATGGAAAAGGAAAACCCACGCCGCACCTTTTGCGTGGAGCAGAATGCATCCCCAGCGATGGAGGCCACCGAGGATATCCTGGCTGGTGACGCCATGGATGTTGATATCTCCATGCGTGTGGAGGAGGTAACCGTCACTAAATCACCTCAGCAAAATCGAAAGGAATCCCATGCACCTGTCATAACTTCACCACCGATTCCCACCCATCAAAATCTAAAGAGAGCTCCGATCCATGAGATGAATTCGCCAACGTCACCACTGGGAAATGCTACCGTTGTCCTGGAGGAGCAGGCCCTGTCCGCCAAGGAGCAGGCCACTCTAAGCGCCAGCGATGAGAAGGACGATGTTTTTGTAGAGCACTTTGGTGCTATATCTCCTGTGTCGGATGACATGTTCAAGACGCCGCAGTTTACCAGCAGCGGCTTCCAGAATCAAGCCAAGATGAAGGCGAATTCTACTACTTTTTCTACCGAAAACGGAGGAAAAGCTGCTGTTGTGCAAAGCAGGCAGCGAGGTGGTGCAGCTGGCGAGGAGGCGGAGTTTTTTGACGCTGAATTCAAGGATGGCGCCAGCAACCAAAACTGTAAGTCAATAGCCTTTATTTTCTTTGCAAAAAATGTGTCAATAGATGTCAACGCAGTCAAACTTCTTTAGCAGAGCCTAAATTTATGTGCATTGTTTTATTTATAACATATATACATAGATTTAAATTTTGCAAGTGTTTTAACATTTTGGCTAAAGGAATTTTTTCACTCATACGTACTGTTCCCTTTGATCAAATCATTTATTATTAATTATTTAAATATTTTTAAATTTTAAATTTTTTTTTGGCAAAACTTAAAAACAAATTTATTGCACACCAAAATCGACCATGTAAAATGCTTAGAGTAAGGTTTTTAAGCAGAACGCTTTTTGAGAAACACATTTAGAACAAGAAAGAAAGCAAACTTCGGCAAGCCGAAGTTCATATACCCTTGCAGCTATTGCATGAATTAAATACTTTTGAAATATTTAAATTATGATTTACTTGAGTATATGCTGAAAAACATTGAAACTATGATAATTTGCAGCTCAATTATTAGATAGTTATTTTATATATTTTTATTATTTCTATGGGAGCTATATGATATAGACGTCCGATTTTGATAAAATTTAAACCATAATTCAGAAATAAATAAACATTACCATATGTTGAAGAACTAAACAAAATATTAAAAAACAGAAAAGTTATAATTTTTTTTCATTTATTTTTCCGATTGTTCCTATGGGAGCTATATGCTATAGTCGTCCGATTTTTATGAAATTTAAACCGTAAATCTGAAATATTTTACCATAACTAAATGTCGAAGAACTAAACAAAAAATTAAAAAACAGCAAAGTTATAATTTTTTTTCATTTATTTTTCCGATTGTTCCTATGGGAGCTATATGCTATAGTCGTCCGATCCGGCTCGTTCCGACTTATATACTACCTGCAATAGAAAGACAACTTTTGGGAAAGTTTCATGCAGATAGCTTTAAAACTGAGAGACTAGTTTGCATATAAACGGACGGACAGACGGACAGACTGACAGACGGACAGACGGACGGACAGACGGACATGGCTAGATCGACTCTACTAGTGATGCTGATCAAGAATATATATACTTTATAGGGTCGGAGATGTCTCCTTCACTGCGTTGCAAACTTCTGACTGAAATTATAATACCCTCTGCGAGGGTATAATAATACCGTTCGCAATTAAAAATCGGGCGTAGCTTTGAACAGCTCTAAAAAATGTATTGACTTATTATATTTTTCTTTAACTGCAAGGATATAGATATAAACTTAAGATTGCCAAAGTTAACTATAAATTATGACTTCCCAAAGCCCTTCATTTCGTGCTAGAGAAGTTTGACCATTGTTGCTTTCAACGGAGGTCCCACTGTGCTCTTGCGTCCTTTGCATGTTCGTGACCCTAGCTCATCAGCCATTACAAAAACCCCAGCACTCATAAACTTGTGAACTTGAAATATTATAGCGGCATGAACTCGAAAACCTAAAGTTCCTCCATCGTCTGCATGGAGTCTATCGCGGCGATATCTACATAACTGTAAAAATAAACCCGGCACACATGCAAGGCAATGAACCTGAACTTCAAATCGGGAAGGGGAACACTCGCGGGTGAAATGTGCAAACAAAAACAATTCGGACCCCACAATTAGTAGCATAATTTTTTTTTTCAATGGCAACCTATGGAGTGTAGGAAATGATTCCTTGCTTTAATGTTTTATGTACATTTGTATGTCTGCACGTTTGGTTTGTGTTTCCTGGTTTTGTTGTTGCTGAAAATGCAGGTTCTTACTCTCTGATATGGCATTACGCGGTATCTTGCTCGCCGCTCCCACTCAATGATTTCTCTCTTCTGCTATTACGACTCTCTCCTTTCCCCAGTGCTCTCTGTCTCTCTTGAAGCCCTTATCAGCAAAATATCGTACGCGAATATAAATAATGCGGGTAAAATGTAGAAGCACTTCGTGCGCTGTGACGTCACTTTGTCTAATTGAAGAAACCCTGTCAGTTTGTGCTGTTTTTTCGTCAGCTCGAAGACTTTGCCTGAGTATTAGTGCCCTGATGAGCGCATTTATATTTTTGTTTAATTACCACAGCTTAATGGGGAATTTGATAATTGCCCACTTATGCAACAGAAATCATTTCGTTTAACTTTGTTTATATTTTGAAAGAAATATGCAAATTACATTGGCAATGTCCAGAGTTCTCCAACGATTTCCATTAAATATTCAAAAAGTATTTAATGTTGGCGCTATAGCGCCAAACGATAAAGTTATCGCTGACTAGGAAAATGCATCTCTGACTATCTCCCACACAGACATGAGCAACAGAAAAGTGAGTTCTCACTCTCATCATTCATATGTTGTATGGTTAGTGATAGAGGCAACAGTACAGCACAGTGTGGACTCGCTAAATAGACCGCTTTGAGTTTGAGTTCAGTCATCTCTGAATTTCATGGGAAGCAGGAAGATTCAAGAATATAGCTAGAAATTCGGAAATGGACATGTAGGCTATTAAGATCTTTTAAGCATTTAAAGTGTATTTTTAGTTTATTGCAATTATATGGTTCACATGTATATAAGCTGCAAGATTGCTTTTAGGTCGTTTAAAATCAGCTTTAGCAGCCGACGTTTATTTCAAACTTTATAAGTTTCATACTGTTCAAAGCTCTTTAAAAATGCTGTTAAAATTAAAATCAGGCCACTTAAAAACGTTTTGGCCAATTGACTAATCTAGTTGTTAAGTGTCTTTTTTATCGACAACTCACTGTAACTCACCGTCAGCTCTCTCCCACTTACACAAAGAGCATAGGAATTCAACTTAGAACTCGGCCATGCACTTTTCAGCCCCCTCTCTACTGCAGCAGAGCGAGAGAGTCAGGCAGAGGGGTCTGTGGGGTGGGATGGGGCACAACTCCAAACAGACAACGTGTACACAACGCTCTCTCTTTCGCACTTGCTCTCTCTGCGCACTTGCTGACTGCTGAATACGCGTCACTGTCCCCACACTCCAGTCAGAATTCAGGCTCGTCCGTTCGCCCTCTCGCTCGCACGCGTGCGTGCGCTGGTTTTCTTATTGGACTCAGGGAGAGAAGTGTAAGCAATAAGAAATTCCATTTCAGTTAGTTTTCAACATTTGACGTCGCTATATCCATCGGTACCCTACTGCTGTTTAATCCTAGGACTGCTTAATCGGGAAATGTAAATTTAAAAAACACAAAATAAGATTTATTCGTTTATTTGCTGTAGTTAGAGATGAAAAACTATATGCTGGCTTACGACAAGTGCTAGAAATCGGAAAAGTAACTAGCAGCTGTGCAGAAAGAAAACAACAAATAAGCATAAATAAAGCCAGAAGACAAGTCTCCGAAGTCGCTAAGAAAAAAAACGTACGCGAGAGTGAGAGCGTGAAACTTCATTGTGTGATTTGCTTTGCGTATAAATGTATTTTTGAACATTTACATGTGGGTGTTTTTTGAGCGCTGCGTGGTCACGGTTAACAATGTTATGTGAATAGCTGTGGAAAATCTTGAAAATGCAAATCTTGTCAAAGACACGCAATTAAACTGCAGCGTAATGAAAAGCTGCTCTCTCGCTCCTCTGCTCTCTCTCTCTCTCTATTTCTCTTCTCCTTCAATCAACCCACTTTCGGAAACCATTTGTCGATTGCATAAAATGACTCACAACTCTTCGTTTCCCTTTGTTTTGTTTTGGTCCGCGGCTTGGAAATCTGAAAAATGCATAAAAATAATGCTATGTACTTGCCAACCTATAGTTGTGACCTGCATTTAATATCTGGGCCTGCCCGGGTTTCCTACTATTTTTAAAGCCAACCATCGCTGGGTTTCACATTTGTTTATGTACTCTCCATTCCATGTCCAAGTGCACTGGAAGAAAAAGATCCACCTTGGTTCTAAAATTTTCTTATGTTGTCGTTGCTCGGTTTGATTTGTTAAGCCAATAAAAAAGGATATTTGTGTTCTTTATAGTTTAAAAAAATCTTAGATCAAGTTCAGAAATATAGTCAATTCACAAATTCTGTTAAGTTGGAACTCAGCGCCCGGTAAAGTTGTAAATATGTAAAACACCTTCAAAATATTTAGTTTCTATCGAGTTTGTTACATCTTTATTTGTTTCGTCTTATAATGGGTTATCCTAAATCTTAAAAGTATCAAATTTGTTTCGTGTGTAGGGTGAAAACAATAATGCGGCTTCTGTGCAGAACAGGCACACCTCATTTTCGTGCCCCTCGGGATCTGGGTCTGGGGTTCAGGGGGTTACATGGGGAGGGACACTCGTTTGAGTCATGCAATATCTTATTTTCTTATTTGTCATTGTTTTTCCTTCGTTCTTTTGGTTTTTTTTTTTCAACGTGTCAACCGAAAACGGATTGCTGGAGAAAGGAAATTTGTTTAAGACAACTTTTTCATAACCCTAGAATGAATTTTTTTACCCGTTACTAACAGATTAAAAGGCTTATTAATCAGTGTAAAAGTATTTAAAGGCAGAGTAAGAGATTCAAAATTAAAATGTTTAGAAGCAGCATCACATCAAAACATCGAGTTAAAATTGTCCGAACAGTATAAAATCTTACAGGTATATTGTATATAAATGCTGTTTAAAAAAAAAGTCAGATTGAAAAAAAACTCATTGGAGTTAAACCCGTAAAATGAAGACTGCTCAAAACTGATAGTGAACGTATTAAATCGAGCCAACAAAGTTATTAGAGATAAAGAATAATACGTGATAATTATGATAGTAGAAACAGAAATTAATAGTGGTTAAAAATGTCAATTAGATGCAATCAAAGAAATTAGAAACTGTGATCTGGGAAAGGCTATGTCATGGATGTTATTTAATTGGAATTACAGTTAAACTTTCTTAACGAGTCATAAAGAAATGAAAACTCGTGTGTTGTTTAGAGCTAAAAATACAAATACAATTTAGGTTTCCCTAGCACTTATTTTTCTTAGTTTCCATGTCAAGCCCTTATGCATTGCCTTTTTTAGGGGCGTTTTACCCATTCCCCTTTTTCTACATATGTATGTGCTTTGCTGCTGTATCATGTACCCAATATTGGTCCATTTCTGATGAGAGGAGGCCTAACAACCTTGACGTTGATTTGAATTAAACTGAGTAGAAGCCGAAATATAGCCATGAAAACCAGTGACTAACGTATGTTTTTGTATTTTTTCTTCTTTCCTCACAAACACCAAATTGCACGCGCATGCACTCATCTAAACATACCCATATACACCCAACGAACACCATCCACAGTAATACTGAACTCATCAGATTTTGATTATTTGTACACAAAAGGCAGCAATAATGCGCCCATCGATCGCAGTTCGCTGCTGCTGAAGTTTGATCCGCTTCTTGGAGCCCCCGTTCCCGTTAATCACCCAAATCAGCAGGAACAGACACTTTTGAATATTCTGGGATCAAACCAGAACCAGAATCAGAACAGAAACCTCAGTCCCACATTGGAGGAGCACGAGACAAGTGGTGGTAACCAGTCGTTTGGAATCGAAGCAAGTGCCAAAGATACCGCCAAAAAGTTGGATTTTAAGCCACCTGTGGATAGGACAAAAGTAAGTTAAACCCAATTTTTGTCATAATTTAATTGTTAAAATGTTTCATGATTTGTAATTCGATTTATTTATCCACAGAAGCATGTTAAAATGAGTGTGGACGTCATTGATAACGATTGCAACAAAACCTTCGATAATTCCAAGTGAGTAACAGGCGGATGAGTGATTTGGGTACATATGTTATCAATTTTTTTTCATTTCAGCCTTAATACGGAGGACAAGTCCCATAACTACAACAACATGGATGAGCTAGAGAAGAAAATCAAAAATGAAGTGTATGTGTATGCTAAAAATAAAAACTATAACCGACTAAATATATGCTCTATTCCAGAACAAGGTCCGAAGACATTGAAAAGAAGCTGAAGGAGGGAGAACAACGCGAGGAAGCGCTGATCAAACGTATAACAGAAAAGGATAAAATTAATGCAAAACTGAAGTGAGTCAAGTCTATCTGTTAAATGGTGGATATAAAAAAATCTTAAAAACCATTTCTTAAGCGTACACAATTTAAAAAAGATTTATTTCGACGATAACACAGAATGAAAGAGCTTAGACTTTGTGAAAGTTGCTTTCTTGAGGTGCAAGAGTAAATCATTGCAAATGAAACGTATATAATCATCGGATCAAATATTGTGTATATATTTCGATTTAAATTTATTACTATTTAAGACTACAAAAACTATTATATTTGACACTTATTTTTGGAATTTTTGTCAGCTAACGATTAAATATAAAATTAAAAACATAACTATATTAAAGACGTAAACAATTTCAGGTTCACGATTGAATTATTTAAATAGCTTTCCTTTATTTAATTTATTTACTGCACCACTTTGTCTTTAATCGTATTATTTATTCCAAAATGGATTCACGCATAAATATTTGAAAAGGCTTAATATAAAATGTAATATTTTAAAGTATTCCAGGACTATAAATATGAATTCTTCATGTGTATAAAGCCTCGTGATGCTGATTAGGAATATATATTCGTTATTGGGATGAAAATGGAGCCTTCTTAACCTTTTAAATATTTGACCTCTGCAAGGTTACGAGTATTATAAATTGTTATTGGTGTTGGTACCCCTAGAGTCCTTTTACAGGTCTATAAAAAAATATCGTAAAAAAATCTGCTCACAGAAGCTGCAGTTTCAAAATAAGTTTTACTTTTAATAACAAAATAAAAATCAGCAACAATTATTTTTGAGTTTTAAAACGGGTCAGCTCAAACGACTCATGTCAAATATTTCTGGAAAGGCAAACGTTACTGTCTAATTCTCGTTTAATTTAATTAGTTTTCTCTTATAGAAAATATTAATTTGTCCATTGAAAATAGGAGTCTTTAGGAACTCATTGCGGAAGGCTTCAGCTGAAAAATTCACGGTCTTATCTTGTGATATAAGAATAAATGTTAACTATTTCATCTATTTTAAAAAAGATAATAACGATGTCTATCATAGAAATTTAAAACAAAAACAATGAAGATATATCTCCAATTTTTTTTGACAGTTTTTCTACGCAGTCCATGATTTCATGAGCTTTTGATTCCAAATGCCCCTTTATTTCGAATAGTTTGTCTTGAAAATCTGGGAGGAGAGCTTTTTGAAGCGAACATTTTTGCGGGCTTATTTACTATAGCTACTTTGCTGAATGCGGTCTCTATGTATATTGGGACATGTACATGTATTGGTATATGTACAAGGCAGCATGTCATATCGCTTCCAAAATTTATAAAATTCAAAAAAGTTATACAGCTGCCTTTTTGCCGAACGAAAAGTTTAATTTTTAATTTTGTTTTTTTTTTTCAAAATCAATTAGGGTATAGCCGTTTTATAAAATTGTACATTTCAGTTGCTCGAAGTTTGTTTAATTTTTTGATAATATTTTTTAATCTACCGTAAAGAATAATAAGTAAATAAGTGATCGTTTGCCATCCTTATATTGAAAGGGGCAGGATCTCAAGAATCGCGATCATAATCATTTTAAATGATTAAACGACAAGATAAACAGATTGTTATATTTGTGAAACAAAAAAAAAATATTAAATATATATGTTATCTGTATTTTGCAGCGGCGTCATTGAGGCGTATGAGAAGGCCATTGCGGAGCTGATTAGTGAGAAGGAGCAGCAGGCGCAGCTGCACGAGCGGCAGATGCAAGAAGTGCAGGCAGACCGGGATGCCAATTACCATCACTTAACGTCGCTGGAAACGACGTTCTCCGATCTGCATGTGTAAGTAATATCTCAACGGAGATAGTAATTTTTCTTTGGATAATCTACTTACCGCGGTGTAATTGTAGGAAATATGAGAAGAGCAAGGAGATGACCTCACAGCTCAAAAGCAACGAGGAGTCGCTTCTGGCAGAGCGGAAGCAGATGATGGACAATCTGCGGTTGCAGGAGCAGCGGTACGACAAGATGAAGAATCATGCCATGCAGCAGCTGGAAATGTAAGCTATTTGATATCTTTTTATAGGCCTTTACCTAATACTCTTCCCCCAACCAGTGCAAATAAAAAGCTAGATACCTACGCGAGGGAGCATGCGGACGAGTCGAAAAAACTGAAAGCTTTACTCAAGAAGGAGGAGGTCTCACGGGTTTCCATGGCGGAGCAACTGCAGCAGAAGTCGCGCGAGAACGCCGATCTGCTCAAGATTTGCGAGGAGCTCATCTACGGCAAGGGACAAGGTGGTAGTAGTTAAACTCAACCCGCGGGTTGCCCGGAATGTATTTTATATGTTGCTGTAAAATCGCACACACCCTCATCACAACACTCTCTCATCCGGCATGTGGAGCCCATCTTGCAGCATGTCCGTAGATCTGTAACAGCGCCTCTATCATCGTCATCTCCATTTGTATCATGGTGTAATAACTGCTCGGTTGCGTGCTCTTAACTGAATAAGAAAATGCAAAAGCACAATTGTATCATTTTGCCTACTCCACTACTGTTGAATTTCAAGATATACAACATCTAACGATCCGACGCATATTATACTTTTTCTAGATTTTTAGTTGACCCGTAAACACTCACTCACACAAGTCACAGGCAGACCCATTGCGTTCCGTTTTGAGTTCCACTCGCCTTACGGGTCTGGTTGCCCGGCATATGTTACTAATTCTCTATCGAATCTGTCTACTGATTTATGTTCTATGATATTACCTGGCGGTGAGTTCTGCCCGAGAACTGTATTGCGTTTGTTTGGTTTAGAAATTGGCCAGCGAGCAAATCGATAATGTGCAACGGCAGCTAATTCAACATAAAAATGCAAATTATAGTGAACAGCGTTTGCTTGAGGCGCGCCTTTATTAATTGTTTAAGTTTAAATTTAGTTTAATTTAATTGAAAAAAATGTAAAAGTCGTACTAAGAATAACTCTGTATTACATACTAGTACTAAAACAAGAAAGCGTAAAAAACAAGAATCATTCAAAATACACGCAAAAAAAATTTATTTATGCATAAAATACCTTTTTGTTTGCTTCGTGAAACGCTTGAAATTAGATTTGCCCAAAATTGGAGGAGCTTGCCTTATGGGACTAAAACACAGTGAAACAAACCGAATGAGCTGAAAGCCCACACCATTTTCATTTATACATTTTTCCATTACAATTTTTTTTTAATTTTTAAAAATTGACTTGTTGCAATATATAAAATTGCTTTTGATGAAAATTGTAGCTTAATAAAAATAGGTCATGTGTAGGGCTTTTTTTATTCGACATATGTAAAATTCAAAATTTATTTATACTGCGAGCACGAGCCAACTCTTAAATTAATTATAAACACTTTCATCTTGCCAAGCTTTACGAACAGCACAACACCAGTGAACCCGTTGAGAACTCTTAATGAATTTTACTTCCATTTATGACATTTACTGTACTCTAAGAACAAAATAAAATTGTTGATCACTCAAAAGGGAAGTGAAGAAAAAACAAATGGAGAATTGTATACAAATTTGTACCCAGTCCATATATTCAGAAAAAATGCTACTTCATAATATATACAGCAAACATATATATTTTTCTAAAGTAGAAAACACAGACGAAACACTGAGACACACACATGCGCTTTTAGGGATCGTTTTCGAGGAAAGCCCGGAATAAAATATGTAGTTTGACATTTGAAATCAAATGGATAATATATCAATGCGCTGTAAAAACACATTAATAGTATTAAAACATGCCAGCACATATGACTTACGATGTGCTGAGCATGTAATGTACGTAAAGGTGATCGAACGAGTTGCATAATTCAATAAATAAAATATGTAATTGCAATAAACCCGAAACGTTTGATTTGGATTCCGTTGATTTATTTTAGGCTTATAAAAGTAATTTGATGCTTGTACGAGGGCATTAATGTTGAGAATGATGTTTTACGTAGCAAGCTTTTGGGGATTTTGTTAACTGTTATTATTCGAAAACATTTTGTTAGGATAATTAGCAAAAATGCTTACAATGGAGTGTATAATTTATATTAAACGGCAGTTAGCAGATGTTATTAAATGAAAACCAAATTGTTGCAAACTTTTTATAAGTAAATTATTTTATATCTCATACTTAGGATAACGCAAAAACTATTAAAATGCGATAAAAATGGTAAGCCGGTGAGGATTCGAACTCGGGACCTTTGGTATAAGCGATACACTCGGAAATAATATAACTCTTACTTTCAGAAAATTTATTTTCCAATATTACTTTGGCCTTAAATGTCTTCTAGAATTAAAAACTCATCCGATTTGTTGTTAAAATTGACACTAAAGATTTCTGTGATGAACTGGCGTGACCACAAATTAGGAGATTTCATGGCACCAATACTTTTATTTTAGGAAGAGACAAGTTTTGTAACCAAAATAGTTTTGTACATTTAACAAATCAAAAACTAGAGATAAAAGTTTGTATAAAAATAATTTTCTAAATGAAATATTTTTTAAAACATTAAAAATTTGAGATTATCTACCACCGACGGATTTTTCGGTTGATTTAATATTCAAACTTCCCGAAAGACGTCAGACTTTTGTGACAACCAAGCATATGATAATGTCTGCATACATATATTACAAACATATATTACGCCTACGGGTAGGCAACACTTTTTCGTACGTTTTTGTGGGTTGTGCGCTGTGGGTTTTGTAACGATTATCTTATAGTCAGGAAACTCGACTATTTATTGTTATTATTTATTTATTGTTATATATCTGAAATTGAATTATTTTTTTAAGTGTCCATGCTGAGATGTCTACCATGAAATTTTATGATTTTTAATATCATTAAAAATGCAAATTTTTTTATCGAGTACTTTAAAATTTATTTTAGTAATAAACGTACTACTGCAGTTCAGCTTTCGCTTTCGCTTTAACTTATGTCTTTTGTGTTTTTAGTTATTCACTATGACTTAAGCTAGGTAAAAACACTCTAAATATTGAGCTTAACGTTTTAAAGAAGGGCTACTTCAGAGGCTAATTTGTGTAAATTACTTCACGCTAAAATTTTAATAGAACTTGCGACTCAGTTGCTTTAATCTGAAAACTAATTTTCAGCAGGCAAATGAACAAGGTTCTGAATCAATCTGAACCGAACAGATACGCATGCATTCCAGCAGAGTATCCGAGTCTCAGCGATGGTGGCAGCGCGCTTTTCACTTTTGTTTTTATATAGGAGTGCGATGGAGCGACGGAGCGCTCAGTCGGTTTTCGTTCGTTGACGAGTTAAGTTCACCGCGATTCCACCTCTGATCTGTGGAGTGGACAACGGCAGTTTGTGACAGTTTGTTTCAAATCCGTGCTGCTGAAGCTGAAGCTGGAGCTGGAGCTGGAGCACTGTGTAAATTAATTGCTTGCTAAATAGTTGAACAATCCAAAGTCAATAAACAATGAAAATGGGCATAGCTCTGTTATGACTGACGCTTGCTTGTAACCGTTTGACGAATGTTTAAGTCGAGTGTTTACTAAACGCAATTAATTCTCTTTAACAGCTTAACAGCCTCTCGTTAACTAAACGCCACCGAAAATAGGCAAACTTGTCGCTCAGTAAAATATACATATTGTAGACAAATCACACAAATCGCATCGAAGCGGCCAGCATGCAGACAGTCATTAAGTAAGTATGGCCACCTCCCCGAAATATTGAGATTCCTGCTTTTCCTGAACAATCCCAATCCCAGTTGATTTCGCACAGACCGTTTCACTATCCTAACCACTCGGCACTCAGCCACATATTTGTGGCAGTTATGTGTAAAAAGAAAGCTGCGCATGATTATTGAAAACACGTTTCGAGGGGCCTTCGGCTGGGACCCTGGCTTATCATTCAAGCTGGGCCCACACAGAAAGAAATTTAGCATATTTTATTTTAAAAAACAAAAGGGCACTCTTTTCTGATTTAATTCAGTAAAATTTATTTTACCCTAAGATTTAGTTTATATGTTTGTTTAATTGGAAAATTGTTATGTAATCGAAACATATCCAATTTTTTTGCCCGTGGTGTGTCAATGACAAACGTAAAACCAAAGTCAACTCCCGGCAAATCTTCGACTGGCCTTTGCTTGACATCCTCTGGCTGCATCGATGGATATTTGAAAACGAGTTTTCATCTGGCCGGGGTTCACATTTGAGTGGGATCGGTGTTAGTGGAGTTCAGTCAACCAAGTCTTTGGGAAGCTACACAAACGAGCCTGGGAGATTAATTGGTGGCCAACGCGCTTTAATTAATGCTTTTCATACTGAATGATTTTGGATTCATTGAGCTGCAAAGATACAGTTTAAATCATACAATTGAGTTGCAATCGCAATGTCCTTCAAGTTTTATGGGATGGGATTTAGAAACCTTTCAACATTTGCTTCCTACTCTACAATCGCTGTGGCATAGCCTGTCATTAGGTTTTTTGTGCAGGCATTTATTTGAGTACTTTGACTACTACCGGTTCCCACTGCCCACGACACAGCTCATTGTTCTTCGGAGTAGGAAACTCTAGGTATATGGTAACCATACGTTATGACACAATCCCCACAGGCTAACTATTGTTGTGCTAATGGCACCGTGCTTGCCAAAGACCTGTGTTTAAGGGGCAAACAAAAACATTTGCTAGAGATAAGAAAGTCCGGAGAATCTCGAGATTGACTCAACCCTGTGGGCATTGTTTACATTTAATCAAAACATTTGCTCTCGGCCAAGAACTTCGGGTAATCGAACCCCCCATAAACATACCGATTCAACGGATCAGCTGCAAACATCTTGGGCCGATCACGTTTTCCACTTAAATTTTAGGTGTAAACAAAATTGAATATTTTTTGCGCATCTTTCTCTTTTATTATTTTTATTGGGTTAAGGTGTGCCGCCAAACACTCGAACATTTTTATTTATACGAATTTTTCTAGGTCAGCATTACGTAAACTAAGTGGTTGCCCTTTCTTCGTGGCCTGACTAGTAGTATCTGAATATGAAGTCGATATAGGTGATGTGTGGCTTCGAATTTGGACAAAACAACAAAAGACCGCCTTGTAGAGTTAGAAAAAATAGGAGGAACACAAAACAAAGTCGCACCTCTGCCTATCCGGTTTTACTATTTGACTAATAAAGAATGGCTTTACTTTTTCAAAGATATTTAAGGTTTTTGGGCCAGACAAAAAGAGTTGAGCCAAGGAAATAGCCGAGAACCGAGCGCTTTCGGAGTATGGGCATGGGCATGGGCTTAACTTTGTACAGCTGGGCAGCTATTTGCTCAAATTGCATAATTAAATGCACGCAGACCTTAGTGCAACTCCAATTATGGTCAGCACAGTTTTCTTGGCCGTTGGCGGTTGCGTTTTCTTGGCTTTTCGTTTTCTTTTTCCATGCACCGCTGAAGGTAACTTCTGCGGCTTGGGAGTACCTACTCCCGCCCCGCACCCCTTTGGCATTAACTGACCTTTCCCCCTCTATAATGGCCAAGAAAATTCGTGGGTTACGCAAACAACAAAGCCCGCCAGCATATCGACTAGCCATTGCATTGAAACAAGATCGTATGGGCTTGAGCTTCGGACGCTTCGAGTGCGTTCTGGCCACGATTAATGGCCACTTTCTCTCTGGCTGGATTTATGATCGCCGCCCAAATCGAAATCTGTTAGAGAAAGCGGAATCGATGTCGCAGGTTTATTCTAATTTTCGAGAGTTGAATTCTTGTGGGAGAAGCTTAATTTATAAATATTTCTTTAGCGTTTAGCTTACTCTGTTATCTGTTTTTTAAGAGAAAGTGGAAGTTTCGTTTTTTTTTTGCATGTTTTCTGCTCTTCTGAAAATTAATTTTTGAAAATTAAAATGCAAGCAGCTAAATTGAAATGTTAATATACCATTTCTAATTGATTATTTCAATATATTGTCATGAATCGTTAACTCTTTTTTTATTAAATCCTTTGGGGAAGACGATAAAAAATGCTCAATTCTCTTCCTGATTTTTTAAATCTTTTTTATATAATATATCGAGCTGTGGCACGTTTTGCCAATCAACTTATCCTGATCCCTTCCGCATGCTCCATTCTTTGAGCCAAGACGGAGTCATAACTCTTGACACTTATTCGTTGCGATTAAGACCTGTAATTTATCGCTCTGGTGGGAGGGGCTGGCCTGGTACCTGGCCTGGTAATTCTTTTCGCTTGCTCATGAAATGCACGTGAGTCGTTGAAAATCAGGCCAACGGCTGCCGTAATTCAGGCAAAAATTCTCTGTATTTTGGGAAGATTTTGGAGCGTGTAGCTCACGTAATAGTCCGGCATTTATTCGGCTTTCTTCCCCTCAACGTTCTCCATTTCTTTGGCTTTGAGTGCTGTAAACGGCTTATTACTCATTTGGCACATAATAAAATCAAAATAATTTGCGTACTTGTCAGACCGATGATTGATCGTCGCCACATCGGGACTCAAAAGTACTCAGAGTTCTTAAGGAAATTGCGCGAATTCGCAATTGTTCGTTGGCTTTGGGGGGTTAACGAAACCTGGGAACGTGCCACAAGTCAAGTCGAAGTGCTGCTCTTTATTTCGTTGGGTATTTGTATTTGCATTAAAATGTATTTAATTTTCGTTATTGATAATTCAAATTTTGAGGTCAGGTTGTGAGTTAAAAATTTCGCCGACAGTCGTAACGCTTAATGCATATTAAACAAATGAACTTGAGCTCATTGTTTTTTTTTTTATTTTTCGATATCAGTTGCCAATACACTTTTGTTTTGTGTGTGTTTTTGGTGAACATTCCCAATTTGTTTGGCATGCAAGGCGCCATTTGCAATGGCAGTGTTGGCCAAACAGCCTTGCGACATCTGGCCACCGTTTGGCCTTGTCGTTGGACACCCGCGGCCACTGAATAACCCACTAGTACGAACCCATTTCGACCCACACATCGGGCATGGCGTTCTGCGATTTGTTTGCATTGGCCACATCCTAGGCTTTCCCGCCTTCCGCCTTCCTTCTTCCACCTGCCGCTTTTCCTTCCGGCCCACAAACCCATCAAAGGTGGAAAACTAAGTGGCCTGGCACGGGGCAAATTGCATTGTCGCTGGCTGCGCCTTCCTGCTGCAAATTGCCCTCTTCCTGCTAATAAGTGGATTGCATTGCATTGGCAAAGGTTGCTCCGGGACATCGCCTTGGCCAAGATCCATCTACGCGCCACCACAAATCCACTTAGGGCGCCAACGCCAAGTTCACGAGATAATGCGATTATTGAAACTTACTGGCGCATTCACGTTGCACTGCAGCTAATTGGCAAACATGTCTTTAAAAAAAATAATCTGCTTTTCGAAACCCTTAATAATTTATTAAAACATTGATCTTAGAAACCAATAAGTTAATATTTAGAAAATGCTTAAAGCACCACACCCATCAAGTTTTCACAAAGGATGGTGATGATAGAGAAATGTTTTTGATGAAGAATTGTATAACCCTATTCATAATTTTTGACTATAACTTCAGTTTTACACGAAGTTAGATATTTCATAAACATAACAAAATTATAATCAATAAGTTGAAAAACTAAATTATTTTCTAGTGATTTGAACCATTTCAATTTGATATCAAGGGCCTTAAGAAATATAACAGGTATTAAATTATATTTTATTTGTTCTTCTTTTTTTTTACAATTAGGAAACATTGATAGACTTTTAATTAATAAAAACTTGTGTCGATCAGTCCTAATTTTTTTAAGACACTAGCATTAACGGGTTGAGATTCATTTGCCAAATGTGAACAAGTTGCAGTCCGTGACCCCTTAATGAGTGCATACAGTGAAACGCGGGCGGACAGTGGGGCTCGGGTAAGAGAAACCGCCTATGTGAGTGCTCGACATTTTCGTTGGGCAATTAAAAGCGCGCAGTAGCAATTCGGGCAAGTAAGTAACGCCTGAGTCTTGAATCTTAGTCGCCATCGTCATCGTCATCGCATTTCTCGCTCGGCGAAATTAAAATGTATTAGGTAATTGTGTCTGTGGCACAAATTAACACTTGAAAGGCAATTTGTCGTAGCATTTTGTTTGGGCATTACGAAAAGACTGGGAAAATGAGGCAACCAGTTGCACGTGTACCCGCACCGAATCTATAAATTAATTGACCAAGTTTTGGGCAGTTTTAAACTTAAACTATGATGCATCCAAATGCAACTGCAAAAAAAAAAAGATTCCTAGTCACTGGCAGCAGGGCCTGTACTTATGTGCTCATTCATTGTAGAACAGCAGTTTTCCGGAGTGATTAATGCCAAATTGGTTTACTGACATTGGCTAACTGTGTCACGCTCGACGAACTTCTGTTAAGTAATTTATTAAGATAAACTTTTAAAATACTATAAAAAGTAACGTTTACTATTAGAGCAGCTCCAAGAGGTCATAAAATCGATTGTTCATTTATAAATTATAAACATATCCTTGCTAAAGATGATTTTCGAAATGCTTGTAAGACTGTTTATACAATTCTTGATTCCAAATGATTGTCTAACATTTTGTTACCCCTCAATGTGTCTTATTTCCCACAATGTACTTTTATGGTAAAAAGTAATTAATTGACTAATACACGAGCTATCATCAATTCTTAACTATGATATAGACTTAACGAATGGGTCGAAGAAACAGCTACCAATTTATAGGCGATTGCCAAAGGGAATCATACTTTAAAGGGGTGGGTGCCAATCAAGGCTTGGCATTTTAATAAAAACAACGGCAACCGACACCCAAAACTATCAAAAACATATTAAAAGCTATACAATAAACCCTCAAAACGTAAAAGTTGCCAAACGTCACTCACACAACACAGGTACTCAGCACACATGTGCGATTTCACGTGTGCATATTGCCAGTGTGAGTGCCAGTGTGTTTTGTTTAGTTTTTTACTTATTTTGTGTGTGTGTGTGTGTTTAGGGACGAGGTGACGTACAGGTTGCCACGTCAATGGCAGAGGCACGCCGCCTGCACTTGACACATTTATTGGGCAACGGCAACGCAGGCCGTAGACAAAAGCAGGGCTTCAAACTGGCCGCCCCTCATTGAGCCCCAGGTGGTGGCCCCAGTTCCGCCCCCTTTCGCCCCCTTTGCCCCCCTTTCGGCCCTTTTGCCCACCCCGCCACTTACATAATGTGGGCAGCACTTGTGTATTCACAGCTGAAAGATACCCACCGGCGATGCGATACCCAGCGTAAGATGCCATCGAAGTCCCAGTTAGGGTGCTTCTATGGGTCGGTGATGAGGGCATCTATTGAGCCGGGTTCTTGCCCGATCTCCGGGACTCGATCGTGATCTCCGCCTTCGATAATACGGGCCAAGGAAAGGCACGACCTGTCTCCAGACGACTCAGTTAATTGGCCAGGCTGGGCGGTGATCAGTAGTCATATCTCATATTTGGCAGATCCGAGATTACGAGTGGGGATTATACAACGGACTGTAAATGTACAAGCTTACTAATTAGTAAGCTGCATTCAATAAATTTTAGTTTGAGTTCGTGTTCACTCCCACGTCAAAATAAATAACAGATAGAGCATCTAAACTTCCTCAACAAGTTATAGCTTATTTGCTGTTTATTTTGGGCTCTTAAAAGTTTAACAATTAATCATACGTCGAAGTTAATGCCAGTCATAATTTAAAAATTAAGATTCTTGACAAACGCATTTCAAGAACAGTTTTTATCTGTGCTGTGGGAATTTTCCTCGATCTGTCTTGTTACACAGCGCAACAATATCAAACCGCATAAAATATAATATTTACTTATTTTCATTGTTGGGTAAGGTACTAGTTTTTTGGATTTAGGTAAAAGGTACACAATTTGTCGAGTATCTAGATAACGTAAAAGGTACGAAAACAATATATATATTTTTTTTTTTAAATTTGAGTATATGAACTATGATATTGTGTATACGATTTGGCGATCTGATATCTTACATATCTTACAGTTGCAGTGAAATTATATTATATTTATATTTACTGGGAAAATTTTTTAAAAAAAAGGTTGTGTTACATTTGATTTTTCTATAGGCGTAATTAAAATTTTAATGAAGTCAAAAAATAATATTTTAATTCTCCTTTAAGATATAGTCTATATAATATCCAAACGCGAGCTTACGCAGAATTCTTTTATCAATGAGTTATTCCAGCAGTACACAGTGTTGAGCAAAAGTTAATGCACCAGATGGTATGATGCTAAATCCAACAACGGTTCACCAAGATCTTTGGCTTATTTCTCAGCACTGGAATGCATTTTTTATTTGTTAATTTCCGTGCGAGGAAATCCAGAACACTGCACTTCGATTTGAGGCCGATCTGTGGTGTCGTTCAACTTTGTAAAGTCCGTGTCATTACGTGCAATTAATCGCTGGCCAAAAAATGGTTAAATCATTTACGAAACTGGTTTGCTGATTGACTTTGCTTTATCTTACGAAATAATGTCGAAATAATTGCGAGTTTTTGCCGGTATTGAATTCATTAAGCGGGCAGTACTCGATATCTCACTTGAGGTCCAAAATAAGAACTCTGAATAAATTAGAAGCACCATCGAGCTTTTTTAAACAAATGCTCGCTTAAACGAAAAACATGCATAAGCAGGAAGATGGGTCATATCCGCCTTATATGACACAAAAAACAAAATAACTTCTAGAACAGAATTATTAATCATGGTATGTTTGTTCATTAACATTTTTTGGTGCTTGGGATTCTGTGTCATTAGCGTTGGGGAAAATGTTCAGCTACATTAAACCGGCTAAGTGATTTGAAGCTGTTGACTTGAATGTATTTTTTGCATGTACATTCAACTATGACGGTTTATTGTGGGGTTAGGCCTGATCGGATTTGGAGCCCGTGGATTATGCAGAATCCAATCCTGAACTTTGACCTCTATTGGCCATAAAAGGTTGCATTCACGGCCGGTGACTTGATCGCCCAGATTCGGCATATTAACTTTTGGCGTTATTATGTTACAACTTTTCACAGTAATTGAAGCGTGCAAAAATTCATCACTTTTATCTATATCTATTTTCGAATGGCTACTGTGTGTGTGTGTTTTTTGCCGCGGAAATGGATGGGCATTAAAAAAAGCATTCTGCCCGTGGTTTGCGTGTGTGCGAAACACCGTCGAACACAAATACTCGAATGTCGTAACGAGTTCGGCGGCCAAAATGACTTTTCAAACTTGTGTGTACAAAATTTAACCAGTTGAACAACGGAATAACAACAATAATTACGGCTATAAATTGGCAAATCAAGAGCGTTATGCTTAAGAGGGGAAATCGGAAGTTGGCCGACAATTACATACACCATGCAGCAGGTTTATAGTCTAACCAACCCATTGGAACAAGAAAGGTTTTTGGTAACTAAGCGTTCTCTCTCAGTTCACATTACGATTGCTATGTGGTCAACATTATTTAATAGTTAATAATCACTTCAATTTCTGTGGGTATTGTTTCATAAACAATAAGTCGAATAAAACTTTTACTGTTTTTCCAAACGAAGACTTTAGACTTTAATGATATTTTATAATAGGTTTTGGAAGTAAAAGCATTTCATGTGAAATAAAATTAAAAACTTAGTGTTTGATGGTTCTTAAAATTAAGAAAATGCTTCTCCTAGGCTTTATACTTCTTACTTTAGAATTCGAAGTCGTAATTCAAGATCATAAACATTTTTTACAGTAAAAAAAATAATTAATAATCACTTAAGTTACTGTGGTTAATACTTCATCGACAATAAGTCGATTTCAACATTTGCTGTTCTTTCAAACTTTAATGATATTTTTTTTTAAGGTTTTAAGTAAAATAAAAAAAAGCTTCTCCTTGGCTTTATACTTGTTGTTTTAGAATTCGAAATCGTAATTCAAGATCATAAAAATGTTATACAGTACACATGTATGAGTAGACACATTTTACCGTGCATGTTTTATAGGGTTTTATTTTTTCTGTGTGAATTATTGCTGTGCAGTGACACGAAAAGCAGCAGAGGAACTAAAAAAATATACGATTTTTTTTTTACCTACACATATATTTAATTTGAGCTAGGCCCTGACTGACCGATATTTATTTGTGTCGTTTCGCAGGAACCCCAACTGGTGGCGTCGTCGCACCAAGTTGGAAAGAAGCCTGCTTGTCGTCAGCGGCATTCTCTTCGTGGCCGCCGCCGCCGGATTCGGATTGTGGCTGAACGATGCTCTGAAGGCGGCCGGTTCCCCGGAGAATCCGCAGGCCACGGCCCTGCACGGTGACAGCACCACCATCAACAAGGTGCCCATGGGCTCTGGCCACAAGGGCAAGGCGGGCGAGGACTCCTCCAGCGACGTGTGCCTCACCCAGGAGTGCATCCACACGGCGTCCACCGTGCTGCGCAAGATGCGGCCCGAAGTGGAGCCGTGTGACAACTTCTACGAGTTCGCCTGCGGCACGTACCTCGAGGAGGAGAACATACCGGACGACAAGGTATCGATCAGCACCTTCTCGGTGATCTCCGACAAGCTGCAGGAGCAGCTCAAGGACATCATCACCGCGGAGCGACCGGACTCCGAGCCCAAGCATTTCCTGTTGCCCAACCTCCTCTACAAGGCCTGCATGAACAAGAGTGAGTATTTAAAATGGATATGTTTGCCTTCTCCCAGGTTATCTTATCTGCTCTTGGCTTACAAAATCAAAGCCAAATGCAATGATATAAAATTAGATACTATCATTCAAGCAATCATAGTAGTTCTCCTATGTTAGCTTTTGTTTTTTAAACTACACTATCATTTATAACAAATAAATAAAATAAAAGAAGATTTAGCTATTAAGTTTATTTTGTTGTACACAAACTTGACTTTAATTTGTGGTAATCATTTTAAGCTAGCGTCGTTTAGTTGATTGCAGTTGTAAATAAATTATGTTTTCGTATTTGTGGTTTTAATAATTGAAGTTAATGCCTCAGCCAAGTCACTTTATTAATGGTTTTTGTTCTCATGCAGCTCTTATCGAGTCCTTGGGCGCTGAGCCAATTACTCGCGTGGCTGAAAAGCTTGGCGGATGGCCACTGATCAAGGGCGAGTCCTGGAATGCGGACGACAGCTGGACCTGGCAGGAGCAGGTCAAGAAGTTCCGCACCGCCGGATTTAGCATGGACTACATCATCGACTTCTCGATCGGAGTGGATCTGCAGAACAGCACTAAGCGTCTTATAGACGTGAGTATTCTTCGATTCTTCTAAAGATTTATGTTTAAATGTTTGCTCGTCGGGTAGAATATATATTCTTATCAATGGACAAGTCGATCTGAACGTTACGAATTTTAAAGATTCTGGTAGTGGACAAGCAGAGCAAGTTTATTAGGACCACGCCCACTCTAATATCCAATAGGTCTCTGGAGAGTCAAGTAAATATTTACTTGATCAATATTTTGCGATTCGACCCATTTCCTAATCGAACAAATATTTAAAAAGCTGTTAAAACGTGTATTTAAACATGGTCAATGATGTCAGCACTGGCAAGTAAATATACTTCACCGCCAGATGGCGCATCCCCTTTGTTGTTTGCCGCTTTGATAAAGTTGAAGTTGGCGCCATCTGTTAGGGGAATATTTATCTTAGTTTAATTGGCTAACAGGATAATGGGTAACTGTTCCCATCTTGTTTTTCTAATATATTTCTTGGAGGAATAATACTTTTAATAAGATATTAGCTAAATTTTTAAGGAATAAAAAAAGAACTTTATGCCCTTCTTTTATGCGATTACCATATAATCGTTTGTTATCCTTGAATTTTAGCTGGACCAGTCGGCTCTGGCCCTGAGTCGCGAGTACTTGGTCAAGGGCTTCAACGAGACCCTGGTGACGGCCTACTACGAGTACATGGTGGACATCGCCGTGCTCTTTGGCGCCAACAAGGAACTGGCAAAGACGGAACTGCTGAGCTCGCTGGAGTTCGAGATTGCCCTGGCCAATGTGAGTAGAGGGCGTGGATAGCCAGCAAACCGAAGAGTATCTCAAATCTTTTTGCCCAGATCTCCTGGCCCAACGAGAAGCGTCGCAACTCCTCGGAGCTGTACAACCTAAGGACTCCGGCCCAGCTGCAGGCTGCCTATCCGTACGTGCAGTGGGTGGACTACATGAATGCCCTGCTGCCGGAGGGACTGAATGTGGCCGAGGACGAGATGATCAACCTGTCGGTGCCCAGTTTCTTCGAGGACCTCGGCAAGCTGCTGGCCAAGACGCCGAAGCGCGTCATCGCCAATTACATGTTCTGGCGCATCCATGGCTTCTCGGTGGGATTCCTCAACGAGGAGTTCCGCAAGCGGCAGCTGCAGTACGCCACCGCCCTGTCCGGTCGCCAGGAGCAGGAGGCCCGCTGGAAGGAGTGCGTGGACATCGCCACTGGCAGGTTAGTGCATGCTTCCCACCACCCCCTTCCAGGGGGCAAGGTCGTCGGGTGTTGGCTGTATCCGTATGCGTATTTCGTATCTCGTATCTCTCGTATCTCTGCCCTGTTTCTGTATCTTCTTTTGGTTTCTTTGTGATTTGCAGCATTTGTGGACAATTCGAAGAAGATTTCGATAGGTACTTATTAAGAGAAATGCATTAAACGTTTTCTTGACAAAGCCACAAATATAAGAAACACAAGAAACACACACACCATGCACAGTCAAAGGACCCACTAAACCGAGCACACGCATGCTAAAAACAAGTTTATCATATAATTTTAACATTGCAATGCGTCACTAAACAAATTGGTTAGGTATTTTTTATTCTTGATCAATTTTAGATTTTGTTATAATTTTTTTTTGCACTCTACTGGGTAAGCGTATTTATTTGCTTTGAACTTACTATTAGATGTTATTAAGCACAGAATCACTGTAGATAAGGATTAACACTCATTTAAACCTTTTGTTTCAAGCTTTTTATTGACGGGGTGTTTGTTTGGTGTAGGCTACATTTTAATTGGAATCAACTCTCATGAGATTCTTACCAACTATTACAAGATTGGTTTATATTTCTGTCTGTCCGTGATGAAAATGTAAAGACTTTTTCAGCACTTGCAGAACCCATATTTTAATCAGGGACCGTAATCATTATAATTTTTATAACAAAAGTAATTTGGTTATGATTACATTTTATTTTTGTTTGTTTCTTCAATGAAAATCTTTATTTGTGAGTAATTTTATATAGCTTGGCATAATTTTTATTTTTGAAACTCAAAAATAAGGATTATTAAAGATATGTTTTTGTTATCAAAATAAAACTGACCTGTAAGTCCGGCATGATTTTTATTTAATTTATTTTCATATATCTGAACACCGAAAATATATATGTTTTGTTACTCGGCTACGACTAGCGAGCAGAAACACTACTTATGACCACTCCACTAAATTCATTTTTTGTATGGTTTAATCTTGACCTTAGAGGAAACCATTTGTTTGGTTCACGTTAGTTGGGTTCAGACGCAATCGAGGTCTCATAACTGAATATTTCGAATCGGTTAAATCAGTTCCCAGTCTTCGGTCCTAATATCCATGTTCATTTTGTGTTTCCCTTTTACGTCACAATTTCAATTACTGCACACCTCCAACCGACATCCCATTGCGCCATCTAATCGACCGAATCTCGAATCGACTCCCAGCCTTGGCATATCCGTGGGATCACTCTACGTGCGCAAGCACTTCCACAAGGACTCGAAGGCGAACGCCCTGGAGATGGTCAACGACATCCGCAGCGTCTTCAACGATATTTTGGACGAGGTCAACTGGATGGACGCCAAGACCAAGGAGGAGGCCAAGCAGAAGCTGCACAGCATGGCCACCCACATCGGCTATCCCGACGAGATGCTCGACAACGAGAAGCTCGCCGCGTACTATGCCAAGCTGGACATCGATCCCGCCAAGTACTTCGAGTCCTTCCTGGGCATGAACATCTTCGGCACGGACTACTCCTTCAACAAACTGCGACTGCCGGTCAACAAGACGGACTGGGTACGCCACGCTCGACCGGCGATCGTGAACGCCTTCTACTCCTCCCTGGAGAACAGTATTCGTAAGTCTCACTCACATAAAAAAAAAATAGGGCTTTTCCAATCTCTGAAAGTTGTTTTCCTGGGTTAGTGAATTTTCGCCTCTTGGTAAAACTGCACGGTAAAATCCTTGAATTTAAAAGATAAATTTGATCTGGTTTTTTAACTTTACATCTGCATTTCAATCAATTTAGTTATGGTTAGTTCCTATATTATTTTATAATAAAATATACCACCTTTTTAGAATGTTTTGTAGTTTTCGTAAAATAAATACAAAGTTGTCTATTTGTTAGATATTTAAGAGTCAAAAAGCTTTTGTTCTTTTAGTCTACTAATTTTAATTGTTTATATACATAAATGCCAGTTTTTTATTTTTTTTTTCTCAAGTACTTGATGGTATGATTTTAAAAATTCAGTAAATATATAACTGTTTAGTCGCTATCAATGTCATTAATTAGAATCCCATTTATAAAAACTTCTTTTAAAGTTTCTGATATTGTTATTTTTTGAACAGAATTCCCCGCTGGCATCCTGCAGGGACACTTCTTCAATGCCCAACGGCCCAAATACATGAACTTTGGCGCCATTGGCTACGTAATTGGCCACGAGATCACCCACGGCTTTGACGACCAGGGTCGTCAGTTTGATGTGAAAGGCAACCTGCGGGACTGGTGGCAGCCGGACACCCAGAAGGCCTACCTGGCCAAGGCGAAATGCATCATCGAGCAGTATGGCAACTATACGGAGCGGGCAACGGGTCTGAACGTAAGTGATCCTCTCTGGAGGGTGGACCAAATCTAAAGATTCCTTTTTCTCGACAGTTGAATGGAATCAACACGCAGGGCGAAAATATCGCCGATAACGGGGGAGTCAAGGAGTCGTACATTGCGTACCGAAGATGGGTGGAGAAGCACGGACCTGAGCCCAAGCTTCCCGGACTGGACTACACCCCGGAACAGATGTTTTGGGTGGCATCTGGACAGACCTGGTGTGCCAAATATCGTAAAGGTGGGTTTTATATGTCAAGAAATGTCGAGTGTTAGATTAAAAGTACTTTTTTTATGTACTTGCCCCCATCATTTTAATCAATATCGACTTTATAAGTAGAAATTAAAATTAAAAGCATCCATTTTTTTTAAACTCAAATACATGCTTACCAAAATCCATATAAAAACTCATCACCGATGGCTTGACTAGATTTGTTTGCTGGTAGAAATTTAAAATTATTTTAGTTTGTTGTTTTAAGATGATTAAAATTGGTTAACCAAAACCTACGATACAAAAATAAAGATAATAAATTAAAGTAAAATAAAAATGGTAACAAAAAAGTGTTAAGAATAATTCCCTTAAGAAAAGTGTCTATGTAAGTGCTATGATCTTTTAAGCGGATCATTGTCTGATTTAAAACAAGGAACTATCAAATGAATACTAAATTTTAATTGTGTCTGTTTAATCGTTGCAGAATCTCTCAAGATGCGTATTACCACAGGTGTGCATTCGCCATCCGAGTTTCGAGTACTTGGATCGCTCAGCAATATGAAGGACTTCGCCAAGGACTTCCAGTGTCCGGAGGGCTCCCCCATGAACCCGGTTCAGAAGTGCGAAGTGTGGTAGGACCTGTTTCGACATTGATTGCGTGTTGGTAAATTGTGACCGTCGTGGCGCGATAAGTAATAGAATGCATGGAATGTCAGCGATCAAGCCCGATTCTAGAAGGGCTAATCTCAAGTAGAAATACAAATACAATACCAAGCGTATTTATGATAAGTGTGCATTATGTAAAAATCGTATTTAATAAAATATTTGTTTATATGTAATATATCAATTACTTTTCATAATTTTTTTTGAAATTTTCGTTTTGTATATCATATAGTCAGTCATATATAGTCATATTTTGAAATTCTTAAAAACATACATTTTTATTGTTTAAATTATGCGTACATAAGAAAAACAAACTAAGCGACAAAAAGGGATGAATAAGACTAAAAATTTAAAATAAATATTTTTCTAAAAAAGAAAATGAAAAAACTGACAAAAGAAATTTAATATTTTTGGTCTCTTTAACAAAATTGTTTACTTTTATGATTTAATATTAATTGCATTATCTTTAAATAAATACATTTTTACAGATATTATGTTAGGTGGACCATAATGTTTTCAAAAATTATTTTGTTCACAATTTTAAATTCTTTGAATCCAAAATTCTCTTGATCAAGGTCCGAATTGAAGGACAAATCAACTAGATGGAATCGGCTTTTAATGTTAATCAAAAGTACACACACATGCTCTACAAAGAAGTTAACCAAATCAAGTTGAGTTATGAAATTAATTTGGACGAAACTTAAAAACTCGAGCCTAGTCGATATACTAAATGCACTCGATTTATTGCCTGTCGGCTATCGAAAAGTCTTTATCCCATTGCCACGAAAAATATCGATGCAGAAACATCGAAGTTTGAAATAAAATTTTGTTTCTTGCCAAACTTTTGTTCTTGTTTATTTATATGTATTTGCCTAAAACTAGGAGCTTGTCCACAACAACTCGCACCAAGATGCAGAGACTCAAATAAAGTTATATAAACCACTTGAGTTAAGTGAGAAAGAACTGGAGTGTGAAGTTAACAGTGGCACGAAAATATCGTAAGTGACGGATATGCATCGATCATCTCTGCCGAACATCGATATGGCTGACTATTGAAAATATCGATGACATCGATGTTTCTACACCTCTTATCGATACGACCTTTCTTGCATCCCTAAAACATCGCGCAGCGTGGCCGAGTAGAAATTTTTGCGGAAATTTCCCTTGCAAATCTTCGCCAGCAGAAATAGAAATGTCGGCCCTCAATTTGACCGTTCGCGTGCACCCGGTGGTGCTCTTCCAGGTGGTGGACGCCTTCGAGCGCCGGAACGCGGACTCGCATCGCGTCATCGGCACGCTGCTTGGGTCCGTGGACAAGGGAGTGGTGGAGGTGACCAATTGCTTCTGTGTGCCGCACAAGGAGCACGACGACCAGGTGGAGGCCGAGCTGAGTTACGCCCTGGACATGTACGACCTCAACCGCAAGGTGAACTCCAACGAGAGCGTGGTGGGCTGGTGGGCCACCGGCAACGATGTGACCAACCACAGCTCCGTCATCCACGAGTACTATGCCCGCGAGTGCAACAACCCGGTGCACCTCACCGTGGACACCTCGCTGCAGGGTGGCCGCATGGGCCTGCGTGCCTACGTCTGCATCCAGCTCGGAGTGCCCGGCGGCAAGAGCGGCTGCATGTTCACTCCCATTCCCGTCGAGCTGACCAGCTACGAGCCGGAGACCTTCGGCCTGAAGCTGCTCCAGAAGACCGTGGGCGTGTCGCCCGCTCATCGGCCCAAAACCGTGCCGCCCATGCTGGACCTGGCCCAGATTTCGGAGGCCTCCACGAAACTGCAGTCGCTGCTGGACCTGATCCTCAAGTACGTCGACGATGTGATCGCCCACAAGGTGACGCCGGACAACGCCGTTGGCCGCCAGCTGCTGGACCTCATCCACTCCGTGCCGCACATGACCCACGAGCAGTTCACCCAAATGTTCAACGCCAACGTGCGCAACCTCCTGCTGGTCATTACGCTCTCCCAGCTCATCAAAACCCAGCTGCAACTCAACGAGAAACTTACCTTCCTGCCAACCGCCTAGAAGGGCGTGCGGTAGCGAAGTGGGGATATCTACTTACGGCAAAATTGTAAATGCAGATTGTGTTGGATTGTGTTTTCTATCAATAATAATAAAGTGCTCGGATCGCCAGAAAAACAAAACATGTGTGTCGACTAACTGGTCTGGTTGCCTTACCCATATGTAGCACACTTTTAAATAACTATTTTTTATCACACCTTGGTTACCTCATTGTCCTTAGAGTAAACAAAGTCTGGATGCAAAATTCGATTTCAGTGCTCAGTTTAAAACCTACTATAAGCTTGCATGGCAAATGTTCATCTTAATAATATACCTAAACTTTGTTGATAAAGATCTCTTTAATTCCAGATTTTAAACTTAAAATTAGAAATAGGAAAGGAATTTTAAAAATCTCACTTTGGATTGCGTACACGAAGAGAATAGAAAAGTTCACGCCAAACTGTATTATGTTTGCTATTGACGAAAATAATACTTATTGAAAAAAGATCTTTCTGATTGCTTTTTTTTATGGCAAGGGGTGTTATTATAATTGCTGCCTAAAAGTATACCACACATTTTGCTCGCAAGTTTCACCTTGCATAGGATTTGCACCAAAGACTATAAGAATATTATAGTCTTTCATTGCACACTATACACTACATCGTATGGATAATATTTTTTTTAGGTAAAAAGTGCTGCAGTTTTTCATATAAGAACGTATTATCAATTGTTGTCTTTGTCACATATGGTTTAGTCATTCGTGACAATATTTAATATCAGAACTTTTAGATGGTGATAGATATTCTCCTAATTCCGCGCTGATCTAGTGGGCTTTTCAAAACTTACTTTTTCACGAACAATTTAATTTATAAAAATTGTGTAAAGAAGGACGTAAACATTTTCATTTGTTTTTAAAATTTGTTCTGAAAGACTTGAAATAGTCAGATCGAAACCTTTCCGATGTGAGTATCACTAATGTTTTTTAACTATAAGTTATAAGTTATGTCGACGCCGTCCACAATTTTATATTTTTAAGCCAAATATCTTTTAACAATACACAATTTTGTTACGTCATCCATATGTGTAAAAAATTTGTCGCCTATCAATTTGATTTGAGACGTTTGGTAAGTTGATTGTACTATCGTCAGAATTTTCCCACCTCTTCAAGAATTATTTTCCAATTATAATTACACTGTGAAAAGGTATATAAATTGGTGGCACAATATTATTAATACATGGATCAAAAAAGCCAAGCAACGAATTTTCTTCTTTGAAGTACTTTATTATAGAACTAAGCGAAATTCAAATGGATTCTTTGATGTATTTTTACAGAAAAATTATTCATATACCGATAAAGTTTAAAAGTTAATCATAAAATTCAAGAAGTGTATGTGATATACATGTTTTTGATTTTTATGCTTAATTACAATAAATAAGAATAACGACAATTAGAAATTAAATCTTTCACGTTATATGCACATCTCATGTAGTATGTAAGTATTTAATATGTTCTTATGTTAGTGTGTTGCGTGTGGATGGGTATTTGTATATAGTTTTAGGTACATTGGATACGTCTTTAGGTATTTTATGTGGGCTGGGGCGTGTAGGATAGAAACGTTAGATTTAGAAGTAACCGAATTGCTCGGAAGCTAGAAGAGAAAACATCAGCATTGTTTGTTAAATTAATGTACAATTTTCATTTGTCTGTAGATATATATATGTAGGCAATATACAATTTCAAAATTTTAACAACGTTCACAGAACTTTTTTCTTTCTATTTGTTTAATATTATTCAATACACATTTTAACCGTATTTTGAAAATTTCCTTAAACGTGGCGTAAAACTTTAGAGAGCTTGGCTTTTCAAACATATATGTGTGTATATATAACGTCGGATTTTCAAACACGTAGAATATCGTTTATAAAAAGTTAAAATCTGAGTCAAAAAGCAATGCAGACATTCAAAAAATTTCGTACTTATATAGAAGCGATTAACACTAATCTGAAACGTTTTGCATTTGACTTTGTTCTCAACATGGATAAATGTAGTGTATATGCATATGTAAACATACGAGCTATGTCAGTAGTTAGTATCTATGTATTACTAGTACAACAACAACAATCAATGTTGCAAAAGCAACAAGAACAACAACAACCCCCCCAGTTCCATCTTCGAATTGACTTCCGTTTCCCAGTCAACCAGTCAACGGCTCAGTTATACGCAGCTGAACTTGATGCCGTCGTCGCTGGAGTAGCAGTTCTGGCAGTGCAGCTTGTGGTTCCGCACCCGGACATCGGTGCCATTGAGGCCATCTCCCAACTGGACGTGACAGACGCAGCACTTGAAGCAGTTGATGTGGTAGAACAGCAGCAGCGACTCGATGATCATGGCAGCGCCGCGACCTGTCCCAAAAGGTGAAAAGTTGTACGTTAGTAAACGAAATGCTGTCTTTTAGTTGCATAGTTATTAAGAAAATCTAGGAATTAAATCATCCTTCGACCTGTTTTCGTTTTTTACTTCTACCCAGCGGCCTATTTAAGTAGCGACCGAATTAAGTTTAGCAAAAGATATTATACTCTTTAAAACTAAAAACGTTTAAATTTGTTTTCTCTTAAAAACAATTTTTTTGTCTGTTGTCGAACGAATGAATAGAAACTTTAAATACTGCGTGATTGTCAAATTAATTTTCGAAAAAATTTACAGGAATCAAACTTAATAATACTTAAACTGCATTGTTCGCCAATGTTTTAAATGTAAAATTTCGCTTCCAAGATATCATGATAATAATATAAACATTATCCCCGTATCCATAATATACCTTAAATATAAAAATTTCGCTTAGTTAAACTTTGGCCATGTTAATCAAGTCTTTTGAAAATTCACACCCAAACAATATATTTGAGCGCTTTGTGCACTTGTCGACAGTTGTCGTGGGTGCAGCCCAGATCTGTCACAGACATGAAAGTGTAGAGTAAGAAAAAAATATTGATGACAAGTTCATAGTTAATGGGGAAGGGAAAGCATTCGATGGCCTACAGAACCCAACCATGAGACTAGTGAGTCCGAGTGTGTGCTATTCTTGTGATGCTCGCTGTGACAACAAGCCTAGAAGATGCAACCAAAAATGAACCATGAGTCAGAGGGTGTGGGAGTAAGAGAATAAC